AAAGGCCTTTTCCAGCCACAGTGATTCTATGATAAGATAGTAGGAGGGGAAGCTGAATATGATTACATTTGGAAGGCAATAGCAAACTTCTCAATGTATGCCTTTTCTCCTTTCCCTATTTACTCATTTTTAGACAGCAGTCTTCTCTGCAGCTTAGTGGGGCCCTGACAACTTGACTGAAAGCAGAGTTCTGTGAGATGCAGGCTTTGGATGTGGCTGTTTGAAGCTAAGAGTACAAAGGAGGGTTCTTACAGACCTGTACTCAGTAATACTTTCTGGTTTTCTGGATTCTATGTTGTTGCACTATTATGTTTGGCATACCGCTCTATCCTTCACACGTCTAAAGCATTGCCACATCTTAACCTGCATACTTTGGCTGTGGAGTACAGCTTTCTGCTTTTAAAATTATTTGTACTTCTTAACTGAGGATGTATATTACAAATGCTTTGATGGCTTATCATTTCAGGTAAGTGCTGGTGCCAGGCATTTTTGTTTCTTGTGCAGTTTCAAGAATCTCAGAGAGATACTTCTTTTTTTCAAACTACTTTTTCCATTTTTTTTAGTGTTGGCTAACGTACAGGGTTCTGCTATAATTTTCTCCTCTGTTTACAGCAAGTGAGAAGGATATTATCCATACAACAAACTCCAGACACTCATTTGTATCATTAACAGCAATATAATACCGATCCCTCTTTCAAGAGATTCTTGTTAACAGCCAGCTGGGGCTTCTGTTTATCAGTTCTGCTTCAGCATGTCATCTTCCCTTTCTATCAACATAGGTGAATAAAACACATGCTTGGGGAAGTGCTGAGGAGCTCCTTTGGTTTCCTGTGTAGTAGCGTGCTGCTCAAGGAAGGGGCTGCAAGGCCAAGGGATGTAACTGGGAACGGGGTTCCTTTCCAATTGTAGCCAGCTCTTGGCTTCCGGAGCAGCTTCCCCTTGGAAATACTGGAAATGGTCTATTAGATATTGGAAAGGGCGATGGGGAGACTGCCATGTAAGAAAGTGAAAGAAACAAAATGCGCCTTTTTTTCCCCAAAAAAAGATATTTGGAGACAGAATTGGAACAAAATTGCAGAATTTGGTACAAAATTGCAGAATGAAAAACAAAAATAGGAAAGGAAAGGGAGGAGTGCTAGTAACATGGATGATTACAAGAAACAAGCAACAGAATGAGTGAAGCCTCTTTTCTTACAAACTTTTGTCTGACAGTTGGATTTGTGTGAATTCTATGATGTCTAGTGAAGGCAGGGGTTGGGAAGTGTACTCTGAAGCCTTTTCCTGGATGTAAGTCGGAATAGGTCTGTCTCTCCACTTGTCTGACTATTTCGACAAAATTTATAGTAATATAACTTGTGAGACTTATATCTCACTTGAAAATTAGGAAGAACTAACTGATACTTAAGTTCCCTTTAAAAAAAAACAACCAAAAAGCACAAAGGAAGTAGCGGTTGAAAGAAAACCAAGATATGAGATAAGGGACTAAAGAGCAAGGTGAAATACGATGTATCACTGAGTTCAATACTGTCTAAACAACAAGAATGTAATTGCCAGCTGCTTTGTTTTCCTCTGCAGTTATTGATTGACTGGATTAACACAACTCTGAAAGAGGAACACATAGTAGTTAAAAGTCTGGAAGAAGATCTGTATGATGGGCTGGTCCTTCATCATCTTTTGGGTAAGATGCTGCTTGTATTTTAGCTCACAAAAACATCACAGAGGAACTTCCAGGTCAGAGAATAAACCTCATGAATTGCAATAGCAGTAATCTGCTGGATCTCGCTAATGGAGAAAGCACTGCACTGTGAACCGTCTGTGATAACTGCGATTCTGAACAAGTGCCTGATGATCCACTATTGTTTTTATATAATTGTTTTTCTTCTAAGAAAGTCTTTTTGCCTTCTAGTTAACATAATAAAAAGGTTAAATTTGAAGTGTGAAATTACAGTGCCTCTGAAGGGAAGGAGGGCTTCATAAGCCAGGAGCACTAAGATGACTTGTGATGCTAACAGAAACATTGGATGGAATCAGCACTATAATTCATATGTTTTCCTGCTTTAAAAAAAAATAGTAAAAGATTCTAGGTCTAAAGCACTGGGCTGGAACTGGAACAGATGAAAATGTAAGAGGTTCTGTATACTATGAGGTGTTTGTATAAAGATATGACATCTTGGAACAGCCTGTTGGTCTATTTCTATTTCTCCATCTCTCCTGTCCCTATTTCATTTTTCTTTCACCTTTCACTCTCTTTTGGGATGTCTTTCAAATCATATCTCCTTTTCACCAAGGCTGCAGGCAGCTGCATAAACAGGATTGGCTTATTTTCATAGTTTACTCACCTGAGCAATGAGCTGGGATTTCTTCTGTATATGTGAGTTGATACAGCCTTTGTGCACTGTCTACAGGAAAGATTCACTTGTTGGATTCCTATAGCTTCCACTAAAAAGGAGAAATGTGGAGTGCTAGGGTTGGGGGATGCTGCTGCAAGGAAGGACTCAGTCCTCTGCCTTTTGCAGAGCTTCACTGATTTTACTGAGGCTTTCAGAGAGTGCGGGAGTTTAACAAGGCATACAGCTGTGGGATGTTGGTCTGTGGAAGCTAAAGACTTTGTGCTTTTGTCATTTTATGTTTCTGATTTATTTTTATTTTTTTCCTATGGTGGTGTTAAAATACATCCTTCTTCGTATGAACTCTCTGTCAAAGAAAACCTAGGATCTCTCAAGCTGGATGTTCACAAGATCGCATTAACAGAAAATAAACAGCGACAGAAACTCTCTGTGATTCTGGAAGCTGTGGCTAAGTGTTTGCAACTGGAAGAAAGTCAGCTGAAATGGAGTGTGGAATGTAGGTGCAGAAGTGAAATTGTAGAACATTATCCATCACGAGGCTTCCTCTGCTATAAGGCTGCTATGAGGCAAAGGGGTGCCAGAACAGAACATTAAACAACCTATTTTCAGTTGCTAATTGAATGAAAAGTGGGACAGGAATATCTGACCCTAACTGGGTCATGCAAGCTGCGTTCCCATAGTGTGTGGCTTGTGGACCTCTTAACAGCCCTCAGTGTCCACGTGTATGTCTCACAAAAAGGACTTTTAAGGTGTGGTATTGCTGAATTGTTATACTATATAAACCCCAATCTGATGTCTCACCTGTGTTATGGCCCTCCATGACTTTGGGATCCTCTGCATAGGGAGAATTTATTATATTAGAGTGAGGTTTACATGTTTTGCACACTAAACATTGTTTTCTTTCTTTACGTGGAATAGCTATCTTCACAAAGGACTTACTGAGCACACTGCATCTTCTGGTTGCAATAGCAAAGCACTTTGAACCTAACCTGGCCATGCCTCCAAATGTTAAAGTGGAAACAATCACCATTGAGGTAATTATAGTTTCAATATTTGTTACAGTAGGTCCTAGAGACCTTTCACAAGACTGATTTGCTTAGAATTAGGGAGAAATGCCTGTGCAGCTGTGAAAGACATCTTTTCTGTGAACAATGCCTTTTATTTTCTCTGTTTGCTGGACCAGACTATCATTTTGTTTTCGGTTCTGATGGTGCATCTTTAAAGGGTAGAAACACAATGCTGTCTTTTCTCCTTCATCAAAAAAGGAATTGTCCAAACTGGAAACAGGTGTTGATCTCTGTAAAGAAGACAAAGAAGAAATTCTGCTGTTACTATCTCTAAGTGTTTTAGAATAGAAGCCTGCACTTATAAATCGTGACATTGGTTTAATGCTGAGGATTTATTTCTTTAGGGGAAGGGAGTTTTTACTCCACTTCCATGGGGTCACATTTTGGTATTTTTCTCTACAAGCTGAGATCTGTATGCTTTCTTCTTCTATTTTGTTTCTTAAAGTCAGTTCTGGGACTTTAGGAGAACATCAAATATCCTACAATTTGAGATGTAATTGCAAAAAGTAGCACTGTTGTGTTACAGTTTTAAAAGAGGCTTTGCAATTCAGTGGTGTTGGGACTCCAGCACCTGGTCTGTGTGGCATGACCTAGCGCTCTTCCCTTTTTGGAGGGTCATAACTGGAAATGAAATGAAGCATGCCCTTGGGCTATGTGTGTTTCTTTAGGAGGCTTAAAAGAGTGTCCTGGAGGGACAGATTCTTCTGGAGCTTACTTCTGCAAAGGTAGCCGTTGTGGCCCTGTCTCAGCTGAGCACTTCAGCAGAGTCGTCATCTCTCTGGTATCTAATGGGAGTCCAAATTGTGCATCGCTGCCCATGCTCCTGGGTGGGTCTGATCAGTGGCAACCCAGACTCTGAGGAGAGCAGCTCCCCCGTTTAGTGCCTTATGGGGCTGTGAGTGCCTTAGCTGTGCAGAAATTGGTGGGGATTATCTGTGAAACTGCAGCGTTGGAAAGAGCTGTTAACCCTGAGAGAGAGAGAGAGGAGCGGCAATGGAGATAGTGGGGTTGTGGTAGTGAGCTGATTCTCTGTAGGAGAAATTGATGCCCCTGATAGGAATGGTAATCGTTAGGTCAAAAGTGAGGAAAGCCCCTGAAGGCACAGCTCAGAAGAGGGGTCGGGGGCAGGAAGGAGGAAATATTGAGGCAGCCCAAAGGAGACCAGAGAAGACCTGGCCTTTCTGCAAAACATGCCTGCAGGAAGGACCTGCCTTTGCTCTGGTGGGGCTGGGTGTACTCCTCTTTCAGTGATGAGTTGACCCGAAGGATTTGACTCAGTATGTAAACAGAGGGTGTTTTTCCCTGCCTGAAAGAGGAGAGCGGCAAACACCAAAAACTTTTCTGTGAATAGAGATGTTTGCCAGGTGCCTGAATAAAGCAGCATCCTCTCCTGTCTCTTCAGACTGTCAGTTGGGTTGAAGCACTGGGTTTTTTTGATGTTTTGTGGAGTACTAAGATTTATATAGAGGAGCAAATATATAAGCACATAAGCAAAGATCCCAGGTGGCTTCAGAAACAGTAAGAATTGCCAACCTAAATCTAAGCAATCCACCAAACCTAAGTCCTCTGCAGAGGGGATTCATTGGTGGGTGGCAGACTACGGCATGAGGTCGTTATAAGGCAGAGGTGACCACCTCCAGCCTGTAAAACTGAAGAGTTCTTAATGCAGTGAGGTGCACAAGGAAATCATTGCCTGCCCAAAGCAGCTTGATGTCAGCCTCTGAACTTCACCAGCTGAGGGACAACATGCTGCTTCTTTGGCTGCCTCTGATGGGGAAGTAGGTAACATCTGCTTGAAGAAGGAAGAGAACAGAAGGGAGCAACAAGCTCTCAAAATACCTGTACTAATTGTACTAGACTTCTTGAATGCATGTCTTCTGGCAATCATTTAAGGCAGCAAACAGTTCATGAAAGCCTCATTAATGCTTATGATTTTTTTTTGTGAAATAAACCCAAAACTATTTATTGTCTTTTCAACAGAACACCCACAGAGGATTAAAGACAGCAAATGCGGTGGAATATATCACAGAAAACAAGTAAGAGGGGATATATCTGTTTTTCACACTGTCAATCAGAAAGGAAATATTGTGGGTGTTTTCCCCCTTAGAAAAAATAGTTGGGATCATGATGATGACAAAAAAGCGTAAACCCCAGCATGCATATGCATGTGAATTGTTTCTCTGATTTCTTTCCTTTACTTTTTCCCCTTCAGATTTGGTATTATGGTGTAATACCCTTCTCTACTCTTTATATAAACTTCTCTAAAACAATATGAATGACTATTTCTGAGGTTTAGTGTTTGTCGTTGCCATGAAATATAATAACAAATATAGTAACAGAAATTGAGTACTCTAAATTTACCTGTCCCAGACTAAACTGACATTTTCTAAAGCCACAGTGGTTTAAATCTACTTTTAATTTATTGCTATTGTGTCATTAAATAAAGAGAAAGGAGACAGTTCTTTTCTTATTTTACTGTAAAAAAAAGGTTTGAGTTTGCTGAGTTTATGAGGTGCTGTTATTATTAAAGGAGTTAAGTAGTAGGATTCCATTTATATACTGAGAAAATATGGACATCATGCCAGGAACTAGAAACAGATTTTCCTACTATCGTCTTTTGTATGCTAGAACATCTTCAAACTCTAATATCATGAGCAGCTTATTGGGAGAGGATATTATGAATTGTGCTTATAAAATAAATATTCTGATCTGTGGGCAAGTTAAAAATCTCGTATACTTCCAAGAGTGTATACAGATACGCAGTGTGCTTAATCTCTGTTGGAAAGTTACTCTGACATAATGTGCTTTGTACTGTATCTCCTGCTTTACAAGATGGCTGATGGCCCAGATAAGCTTTGCTTATGAGTAAGACTAGTTCTGCTGAATGCTTTTTCTAATTCTTACTTTTTATTGCACTTCCAGAGAGAATTTAGAAGCTCAGTCAAGTAAGTACCGGCATTGCTAAGTTCAGTGTTTTGCTAGTATGTGCTATTATACACTGCATTCTGATCCATTTTTACCTTATGATAAAGTCAATGTGCTCCCACTAGAGCTAATGGAGATTCATGGCTTTCCCCTAGTGTTTTCCCCAAAATGTCTTCTGCTAATGTTTGTTCATGTCAACACAATATAGTTTGGAAATTGGGTGGTCACCTTGCCCGTGGACTGCAGCCAGCAGATGGGAGTTGAGATAAGAAATGAAGCAGTGGGTCGATGACACAACAGAGAAGACCTGGCTGGGGGCAAAGCATGTCTTTGATTTACACATTGACCTCATCCACTATGTTGGAACTATTTGTGAGCACAATGGCTTGAGAATTGTGCTTGTTGTTGCTCCCACTTTCAATGTTGTTTCCTTTCCGCTGTTTGCAAATAAGATTTTGAAACCTATGTACTTGATTATGGATGGCAGCTCAGTTAAACCAACGTCCCCAGAGTTTTTATCATTAGGGCTTTTGAGGGTGGTGAAACACTTGAGGTGAAAAATGTCCAGGTGTGTAGAGGCTGCAGAAGGTCTGGGCACTGCTCAAGCTTCAGTATGAGCTGCTCTTCCTTGCTGCAAAGGAGCACGTTGCATCCCTAGTGAATCAAGGCAACCGTTTTAATTCTCTGCTGTGCCCTTTGTGTTAGTATTTTCATCCTTCACAGAGGTGCAAACTATATAATTTAATACGTATTTATCACTTGTTCCACTGAGTGGTCTCTAGTGTGGGCTGAAATTGTGAAAAAACCCCAACCCTGTAATTAGATGTCTCTTCCAGTGGGCTGATTCTACTGGGAAGAGAAATCTGCAATTCAATCTTCAAAGTGCTCTATTTTTGACACAGCTTGCTTAACAAAGAGAGAAATCCCAAAGCATGGCTCCAGAAGAGGTCTCTCTAGTTTGTGAGACCATTGGAGGTTTCAGACTGTTGCTCAGTGATTTCTTTGATGGATTCACCTGTTATTCCCTGGCATTGCTCCTCTAGCAACCCCCTAACAGGGACAATGGAGAAACCCGAGGAAACTTTCTCAGTGGAGGCTTCTCTCTTGCTGGCTTTTGGGAGGAATCTTCCTTAAGCAAAGCTGCCTTTGCTTTCCTGCACCGCAGAAACTGGTTCTCCATATAGTTATGCTGCCATCGTGCCCTTGAGTTTTAAGGATGTTTCAACTGCTTTGTTCATGCTTGAACCAGAGCAGTCTTGTGGCTGGGTTACCGTGAGGAGATATATCCTGCTTTCACGAAACCTGAGGTGAAAATGGAGGTGAGGGTGGGCATTCACAAAGACTTCAATGAATCTTTTTTCCTAGGCAACCTTTAAACTCATGCTGTTCTCTGGTGCAGATTAGCTGGCACCAGCTCAATACCTACCTTTAAACTGGATGGCAGCACTGGTCATTTTTGAGGTCTGTGAATTTTCAGAGGAAGGGCAGTGTCTCCAGCCCTAATATCTAGTTTGTGGATTTTTGAAGAAAGGGGGCTGATGTAACTGTTGGTGGACAGCAGAAAAATGTATAGCTGTTCTTCTCTGCTTACAGTATTTTATCCCAGAGGTTCAGGGTTAAAAAAAAAATAACTGAAAAGAGATAAACTGTAGAGATGTGAAAATTAGCCATTGCTCACACTAGTGGCAGCACAAATCTTGAGAACCTCTGCAAGGCAAAAAATACAGAGCTGAATGAAGTAAGTTATTTTCCCTGATGTAGTTAGGCTGAAAGGAAGCCTGTCACCCTGTCCTCTGATAAATACAAAAGCAGGATTTTTCCCCATCTCCTTACGACTCTTTTCCTCCTTGGCTTGTAAGGTGTGAACACCTTTCTCCTTCTGGAGCCACTTTAAACCTCTGATCCTGTAGTTATTCCAAATAATACCAATTAATGTTGTTTTGATACAGAAGGTGATGCCTTTGATGAATTATTTAGCCGTGCTCCCGATAAACTGGATGCTGTAAAAAAGGTAATTTACTTTTTAATTTAATTTAATTTATTTTTAAAAATTTACATCAAAATTTGTAAGATAAAACTTAGTTCATTACTTCACTTTTCTTCCATCCTTTCCTCTCTTTCTGTTTTCTTTAGGTATTTTTGCAGTTTGTCAACCAGCATGTTGGAAAATTAGGATTAAATGTGAAAGACATCGAATCTCAGGTAGCCTGCTCTAAGCTGCATGTTAACCATGTTTTGTCAGCCATTTGACATTTCCTCTCACCATTTGGATTCCTCATTTTTGTTGTAGTAATTAGAAACTTGGCAACAGATTCTATCTTCGGGTTAAGATATCAGGCTTCAGTCTCTGAACTTTCTGAAGCTAATAAGTAATGAAAAAAGAATAGCTTTGTATTGAATGCTGCCCTTGCAATGCTACAGGGAGTAATTTTCGGAGTCTGCCCAACTCCTATGGGTGCTCTTTCTGTCAATTAAACCAAAAGCCAAGTTGATCGCTGGCGCGTAGTGATTTTTAATGCCGGATTTGCTTCACTGTAGGAAGGCCTGATTTTCATTACATTTCAAAATCCCACCCTCTGAACATTGAGCTTCTTTAGAGTCCGTGAAATTGCAAGAGAAGTGGTCATGAGGCACCTGGGGATCACCTGCCTGGGCATTGGTGAAGACAGGCACAACCGCGCCTTGGTTGTCCTCCTCCACTGCCGCTGCCCCCGGGGAAGGTGGATGGTGGCTTACGCGGAGCTGGGGAGCTGCAGCATCCTCCCCGCGCCTCTCTGGGGAGGGAGCAAGCGATGGGAAATGAGCTCAGAGATATCCCTCGTGGCTTTTTCTTCCCTGCTTCTGCAGACATGCACGCAATAACTGTGGGAGAAATCAGCCCACAGCTCTTGGCTTTGCTTGAGGCATTCAAAACCTCAGTGCAGTGGCAGTGCCTGTGATTTATGCCACGCGGATGAAAAGCGGAGCCGTGCTCCGGTGCTTTTCTGGGTTGTCCTGCTGGACAATGGTGAGAAAGGAAGTTTTGCAAGTGTTTTGTCATAAATCTCAGGCACTAGGTGCAGTTTTCTTTTATTTATTGTTATGCGTTTGTCACTTGTGGCCATCTGAAGTCTCTTCGCATCTGGAATAGTTTGTTTTAATAGCTGTCCTTTCCCAAGGTTGCATTTTCACTAATACGAACTTGGGAGCCTTATGTAACTAAAACACAAAGTTCACTGTAGCACAGGTTGAGGGAGCTGAGTCATTAGGCTGTCTGCTTGCCAGCGTACCATTTAAATTCCTTTATGGCTAGAATGGCATTTATCGGAATAATTTACTAAAAGCCAACTTAATAAATAATATTCAGATCATTCTTCATCTAGTTTGCAGATGGAGTTATCTTACTTCTGTTAATTGGACAGCTGGAGGGTTACTTCCTGAATTTAAGGGATTTCTTCCTGACTCCAGCCAGCACCACGGAGATGGTAGGTTGTTATTTAATTACTTAGAGCTTGAGGCCTCAAACATCTTGTGTATTTAATGCTTCCGTATGTCAGTGAAGAGCTCTGCCTCTTGCTTTAACTGCTGCTGTGTATGAAGTCACATGCATGCACAGTGTTCGCAGGATAGTGATTTGGGACAGTACAAATGCAGGCACTTGATGCTGTTAAAGTACCCTGGAACAGGTTGGTGTCTTCTTCAAAATAAATTATTATCTCATGAGACGCAAGTTATTGTTACTTGCATTTATTTGGCTTCTGAAGCCTTCTGGTGAAATACAGAGGCTCTGTGTGGCAGGGAGTTGGTATGCTATCTCCTACAGGTCTGTCCTGCAGACATTTTTAAGTGGATGACACCTCTTTCATAGCAGAACTGGATCCCTATAAGTTTCCTTACACTGTCCTAAAAATATACCTTAATCAAGGCATGACCAGGACGTTTTGAAGGCCCCCCCTCCGTGCTTAGGAAGCTTCTGAGAATTTACATCTTTTCCTCCCCCAAGGCTGGGAGCTGTAACCTACACAGCCAGACTTGCTTGACTCCTTTTTCAACCTCTACCGGGCAGATTTCATCAGTGCTTTAAAAGAAAAAGGTGGCATCAGCCAGAAGGTAGCATATGCTGGGCTGCCGGTGTAAATGCCTCCTCCACAGCTCTAGGATGTTGAAATATTTTGAAATATTCAAGATATTTTCAAATTGTCTCTGGTGTGGGTAGGGATTTTTCATTTTGGTGACTGAATAGCTGTGAAAATCTTGAAACTGTAGCTGTTTTTCCTGGGTTATATTAAATTAGATCTCTCAAGGTGAAATGTGTCAGATCCTTTTTCTCGAGAACTGTCTGAGAAGGGAGTCTCTCCTCTGGCGTGGTTTGCGTTACAGCTTCCCCGCACAGTTGAGGCTTTCATCTGATTCCCAGCCTCACTGCAGTTAATCTCCCTGGGCAATATTTACATGTAATGAAAATTCTCAGAGGTCCTGTATTAATTTATAAATACTCCTGTGGAGCTTTTCATCAAACTATTTAAAAGCACAATTGTCTGAGATGTAAGTTCAGATTCTGCAAAAAATTCATTGCTGTCAGTTGATGACTGTTTAAGGTATTAGGAAAATGCAGGTTTTTTAAAGTCTAAGAATAGGGAAAATGTATTTTGAAGGGTTGAATCAAACCAAATCAAAGCATTTCCTTGCAGTTCTTTTTCTTCCGTCTCTCCTCCACTCAGTTTTCAAAATTGTTTGCACCGGTCCTTTGCCTGGGAAATAATTTTTAGCGTTTCCATTAAATTTATTCAGAGGAAGTCAATGAATATTTTTTTAATTTAAGATTTCATAGATAACCTTTTTCTTTTTGGATCAGTCCTATTCAAGCCTCACAGATCTCTTTCAAGAACTAAGATACCCTTACGTATTAGGTACAAATCAGAGCTCACACTTTCTAGTTTTTACCCTGCACATGCTGGTCACTGGCATCGGAGAAGAATATAGTGGGATTTGGTACTGGTTCAGTGCAATTCTCTACATCCTAATAATTTCATTTTAGCAAAGTTATATCCGAGTACTGGACTTACTGTTGAATAGTTTGCCAGAGTGGTACTTACCATTTGTTTATCCTCTGATGTTCATTGCAAGATGAAAAACGGGATGACAATATAACTAAAAATACTGAGAGACCGTAGTTCAACTGTCATTTGTACATAAAATATGTCTTTAAATTCCCCTGTGCTTTCTAACTCCCTGTCATTTTAGACATTAATTGGTACGGTAAAGTATGAAAATGTAACCTTTACTGAGATTTAAAACACGTCATTTGTGTTATAAAAATGGTGACAACCACACACACCATTATGATTGGTTTGGTGCATCAACTTTCATTCAAGCTGAAAGCTCGTGGTTCAAAGCTGGTGCATACACTTCATGAATCGCAAGGAGGGGAAATTGAGATGGAAGCAGTGATACTGAGGAGGAAATAGAAACAAGAAATAGGGAGCGCAGGAGCCTGTGTTAGAGGGACAGGAGGGGTGAGGAAAGCAGGAGCAGAAATTTGGGAGGTGACCCGCCTACAGGTGCAAGAAAACAAAACTGCACGTGGGTAGCTTTGTTGCAGGTTTTTGGGATATTTATTACCAAAAAATGAGTTTTACAAGTAACTGTAAAGAAAGTCCAGCTCTAGGTGCTCAGGTGTATAGAAAGGTGTGTGCTCAGAGGTAAAGAATATAATCACAAAAAAGGTCAGGCTAAAATTAGGGGTGAAGTTTGTGCAGTCAGGAGGTGAAGATGATGATGAAGGGCCCCTGTGCTTGTTAAAACTGCAAACTCAGTACTTTTGCCAAAACAGGCCCAGAGCTGAAATACACCAAATGTCCTGACCTAGAGAACTGTCCAGCTGTTTTGAGTCTGGAAGTGCAGCTGGATGAAACAACTTTTTATTTCTAGGTTGCCTTTCTTTGGTAATTACCAGTATTTCTGTCTGAAGATTTGTTTGGAAATCTGCATGTTATCATTCCTTGCAAATCTTATACACATTACAGGGAGGGAAATGTGCCCCTTCTACCTATGCTGGTTCATTAAGGAAACATTTTACCAAGGTGAAGTCATGTTTGACCAACC